TTTATCATTTTCTTAGTATGTTTGATTTGGTGATAAGTGGAGGCGTTGCAGAGACAGGGGTGGAACAGAACTGAGAAATACCGGTTGTTTCTCGGGAACTCAATTTTGACGCTTTGTGTTTCGCGCTTCGCATGTGCGACTCCACTGCCTTAATTCCCATCGTTCCGAGCTTGAATGACTTCTTGCACAAAATACACTGTGCCTCATGTATGTTCCCTGGTTTTTATGGAAGCCCAATAGATTCATAATAAAATAAATAAATAAAAAACTATGAAATAAATACAATTTTGATAAATAACAAACAAATATATAATATGGTCATGAAATAAAAACAAGGTAATGTTATTATGAAATATATATTTTTATTGTTTAATATCTGCTTATTATTATATTCATCATAATTGAATATTTCATGATAATTATTTTCACAATGTCAAAATATCAATATTTATACAATATGCTTTTTAAATAATTACTTTTTATTTCATTTTCCAAGATTTTGGAAAATAAAGAACTTTTTTCCAAAGTTTGTCTTTATTCCATAATGACATTTTCCACAATGGCCTTTTTTATTTCATAATGTTTTTCAGCAGAATGACCTCGTATGTCAATCAAAGCAGGCAAGGCAGAGCCAGTTAGGTGATTGGCTGCTCCTTTACTAAGACATGAGCAGCAGCACTTGCAGTATCGATTCAAGTGCGGAGACTTATCACCAACTGGAGGCCAGGAGTGAGCGGCTAGTTAGCGATGAGATGGCAGCTGGAGTAAGGTGACCAGATTTCTGAAATCAAATCTGGGGACATTTCTTGCTCGTGGATAAAAATCAATACATCTTATCGAGATGAAATTAGGAAACGGGGACAGGAATGGTTTCATATATTTTTACATATTTATTAATATTTAAACAACAAAAATCAAGTGTAAAAGCCAGGAATGTGCCTTTCCAAACGTTTAGTATATCCTAAGATTAATAACATGAATAGTGTTATTAGTAGAAAACTAGAACTGTGTCTCTGGGTTGGGGCAAAGTGGTGGGGGTGGGAGCGGAGGGGTCAAGGGTCATTAGCAGGGCTTTCCAATTTTGTCGGGCCCAAAGAGCTCTGCCGCCTCCTAAGGGGAGAGTGACATGAGGAAAAGAAATTTAGAAAAGTAAATACAAACATTTATTCTATGCCTGTGGCTGTCTGTTGAGACAGAGTTCCCCCACCTCTTCAAAATTGCAACAAATACTTATTCTGTTTACATCTACTGTACATACCTATAAGAAATATTTTTTTCTTCATTAACATAAAAAAACAAGTAGTAGTCAAGCCTGCAGGTAAAGGTTCATATATGTTTCTTACTGTCACCTAGCCACATCAGGGGCCTGTGTGTCTCAAAGTAGCAGGTTCATTTTTCCTACTAACCTGAGTATACAGCCACTCTGTGTTCCACAGCATACTTTGCACACTACATCACTCAATATGTTAGTTTATCACTCAAATCATGTCAACGCTTTATCACTTGAACTTTATTAATACATATTATACATTTTAAATGTTTGAAACAAAAATATTAACTGAACAGGGTCTGAGGCAGTGGCCCTGGGTTATCAGAGTTCCTAGTTTCCTCCTCTCTCATTCAATCTCCTTTCTGTCTTTCTATCTTCTTCCTCACTCCTCCAGCATCAATCTTAAATTATTCTAAAACAGAGACATTATATAATCAAAATCACCTCCAAAAAAATTAGGATGTGCAACATGAAAACTTATTATTATTAATATCTCATCTAAATACTAAAAATGCTAATTACCACAATATTAGGAGCTACAAGCAAAAACCACATAATAAATGAACATTAAACAGGTGGTTATCTCTTCCTCCATCATTCTCAGATCATGTAGATCTTGTCTTATTCAGTTCTCCTGTTACTGACTCCTATTTTTTCACAAGGAACTTTCATATATATCCAAACTGAGCAGTAAAAAGCACACCAAAAACTGGAAGTCTATGCTCATAAATCACAACCATAAATCATCAAAACAAATTGAAATAACTCTACTTATAATAACTATCTGAAATATAAACTAAAGGTCACCTATCCATTCTAAAACATCTTTATACAAACCCTTGTTGATCCCTGGAGAACCAGCGTACCAGATTAGCGCCTTACAAGGAGTTTTCAATCATTTTGCTACATTTTAACCCAGCGTCTTTTACTCATGCTCAACTCGTGGTCTTGTCTTACTTTTTATTATTGTTTTAACCTGGACACAAACCAAACATTTATCACCAGATCAGCCCGATCAGAATAAAATTAATTGATTAACACACTTACCATCACTCAGCGTAGCTTCTCATCAGTTGCCACAGGTTGTAAAAAACGAACTTCCACTTCTTCTTCTTCTGTTTTAAAAGTGATGCGCTCTTCTTCTTCTTTGTGTTTTAATGGCAGCTGACATCCAAAAGGATCATTACCGCGCTTCTAGTGGTGCGCTCTGTTCCTTATCTTTATGTTATCAGCTGCGCAACCAGCTACTGTAATACCTATTTTTGCGCGCAACAGCTCTACCGTAATAACAGTCTACACGCAACATTTTTCGCCTCGGTAACATCGGGAACATTTCCGGGGACAGCTTTAGCCGGGGACAGGGGGTCCAAAACGGGGACAGTCCCCGGAAATCGGGGACGTCTGGTCACCCTAAGCTGGAGAGAAGTCAGTTGCAGAATTGCTCAGAGAAGTTGCGAATAGATTGGATAGTAACACGAATCCTGCACCTCAGCCTGAGAGAGGAGCGCCGAGCACCGTGTTTCTGACCAGGTGGTGCCTGGACGTTCACCTAACAGTGCAGCATCAACGTTACAAACTGCTCATGCTAACGCGGGTAACCAGACGCCAGACCAGGGGTGCAACTACATATTTTTGAGGTGGATGCGAAAACACATGATCGCCCCCAAACCCCCCCCCCCCCCCACGTACAGTAACCAAAAGAACAGAATGAGAGATGGTCATCAGAAATTCAAACCATTATGGTATATATGTTTTTGCTGCCTCCCTAATGTATTTATTCCTGCCTGATGTCCTCACTTGTCTCTTCTATCACCGACCTCATGTCTGTCTCCTTCACCCCTTGTCTGTGGCGTTCTCCACTAAGTCATATGGTCAAAAGGCATTATAAATTAGTTGTAAAAATTACAGATCTTAATACAGTTTTTAAAAATAATGTTTAAACATTATCGATTGGGATTAAGTAGCTGTTCCCTCACTTCCACCTAATATTAGACCAACCTGTTGCTTTCCCCTGTCTGTCCTGATTCTTCCTCTGTCATCTTCTCTTCTTTCTCTCCATCCTCACAGCTGAATTAAATTAATTTTATGTTAAGTAGGGTTAAAAAATACAGCAGTCAAACCACAATAAAAATTAATCTTTAAATTTGAATGATCTTCTTGTTGGATAACAGTTACTGACTGGACACTGCATCTGATCTGACTTATCAGATACATCACAACACCACTGTAGTGATACTGAATAAAACATTTAAACTCAAGTGTCCCCCTGCCAAAAAGTTTGGTAACAAGGGTCACCGAGTCTAAGGGCTATAATGACACTGGATTAATGTGTCTGATACACACATAAACTTGTACAACTCATCTTTAATAATAAAAATAAATAAGAAATGTACATATGAGTGAATAAATTGCAGCTAAGCCTTGGAGCGTACTTGGTAGGACGCATTTTGAGGCCGGTGACGTCACAACGCTGCGCGGAGGCCGTCCCATTTGGCAAAAATTCTGAGGACGCTTAAAATGCAGCAAGCTAACCTGTTGATACGAGACGCTCAACAACAATTGAAAGCCTTCATAAAAATGTCACAATTATTAACCTACATCTTGTAACTTTGCTGATAGCCCTCACTAATCTGATTTATTTATTCTCATACAGTTTATTACACAGGATTAGAACTGTCAAAGCTTAATGCAGCTGAAGAAATAACATGAGTCCAGATGTACTGGGCTGTTAATACTGTAAACATTTTGTTTTAATACTCAATAATGTATAGTTATTTTACAGTACAGTAAAATAAGGTTTAAAGTATAATTCACTTGAAGAACAATGCCGGTGTAATTATACAGAACAGTAATTTTGCTTGTTGACATAACAGAAATATGCTTTACATGTCATTTTGTTCCAGGGAGCAGGGAGCAGACAGAGGAGTTGATCAAACTCTGTGGGCAAAACTACCACCTTTTTACCGGCGCCAAAAATACTGCAGCAGTCGGTTGGAGATAAGAGTTGAGGCATAATTCCATCTACATGTTGCATTTCTATGTAAAAGTCACACAAGATAAAAGAAGTCCTGTTCAAACACCAACGTACAAATATAATCTTTTGATCACATGATATGATGCCCAGATGCCACTTTTGATCAATCTTATATTTGTGATAGAAGTGATCCTAGTGTGTTTATCTCTTCTCATTTCTCTTGTTTAGAACAATCCTGCAGAAAATGGGCCTGGAGGGAAAAGTTGAGCCACAACAGGCCAAAAAAAAGTGGGACAACCTAAAAAAAAAATACAAAGTATGTTCAGGTTTGGATAATGTAATGAAATACACACACACACACACACACACATATATATATATATATATATATGTATATATATATATATATATATATATATATATATATATATATATATATATATATATATATATATATATATATATATATATATATATATATACACACACATAGATAGATGTGTGTGTAAATGTGTAGGGAAATGACATCTTACATATATTATATTCAGGTTCATTTACACTTTAAATTAGCTTGAAAAAAGTCATCTCAAAGTTATTATTCCAAAGTCGTCTCTTTTTCTGTAGAATGTCATTAATCTATCCAAATCATGAAACACTCCTTTTTTCTAGCTTTAAAGAAACACTACAGAAAATTGCATCTGTTGACAAAAATTGTTTTCCTCTACTATACACTCAAAAAAGTGGGACTAAGCTAAATTAATATTTACAAAATAAATACTAGTAACCGTTACATAAAAAAATTGTCTGTCTGCAGTTTGGTATATTGTTATGATGTTTGAATTAAATTTGAAGTATTAATCAATTGCATTTTACTAATTTTTGTTTGAATAATATCAGCTGAAATCACTGAGTAGAATTTGATACTATTTTGTCAGTAAAGTCAACAATGTCGAAAAATTAATAAATTCTAATAATGGGAATTCTGTAGTTTTAAACACTGTACACTTCCGCCGAAGGCATTTGCGCCATACGCAAGTTGATGTCTGCCACACCCGCCATCAACTGATATCTGCTCAAGGTAAGAGGCTTTAATAACAACACAAAGCTTTATATCTATGATGCTACAGCAGTTGAACATTGTTTTGCCTTAGCCCGAGTTACCTAACAAGTTTACTGGCAGTAAATTAAGCCTTTATCAGTCGGAGTCAGATTCAAAGTCAGTCGGAGCTTAAAAAATTGCGCGCGCAGAGATGTGTTTAAGCTAGCGCGACTTATTACTCAAATATAATGCCAAAGACAAGGTGTTACACTAACGACGTTCGTGTTTTTGATCTCTTCAAACGCGAATATCCAACTTGAAACTAACTTCACTGCGGTCGCACAATACACTCTGCACCCCTGAATAAAAGTTTCTGGAATCAAGTTGTAGAGCACTGTAACTAATGTTACTTTTTGCACTTTCCTACTTGCCCTCCTATTTGCATGGTCTATGCATATTTCGGTGATAATTTATCTAGCATGGATTTTTATTCATGGCATGGAAAATTCAACTCGCCATAAAAAAAATACGTATGTATATGTATGTATATACAGGGCCGGTTCTAGCCCTTTGGTTGCCCTAGGCAAGATTGAGTTTTGCATTAAGCATTCAGAAAAAACTGTAACTTAGCATGGAGTGATGCATAGACAAATACCAGAATAGGTTTCAGTACCTTTTCTTTTTTATTATTTTAAATAATTTATTACACACTCAAAGTTAGGACTGTGCAAAAACACTTTTAACCATCTGTAAGGACACTGTAAAGTATAACTAAAAAACTGGATTGAATCATTGAATGAATTTATTTCAGACAATTAACAAATTTAACACACATTAAAGAAATATTAAATACATCAATTTCAGAAATTACCAAATAACAATAAAAAATAATAAATTTAAGAAATTCTTCAACCAAGGACTACATAAAAAAGTAATTGATAAACATTAAATTAAAATTTCTGTTCCAGTTCAATTAAATCATTTGAACATAAATAGAAATGAGATAAACAAAATTTTCCTCTAAATAAAATATATCAGCTATATTTACCCTGATTTCTGACATTGATTAGTGATTAAAGAAAGGATTAACCCTCTACAAACAAAAGTGCTTTTATGAATACCATTACAAAATTAAAAGTTTGAAGTTGTTGTTTTTTTTTTGTTCACATATTCTATGATGAACAGCCATAACTTCATATATTTTGATGATTATTTGTACATCCCTTTTGAATACTCAATGCAGATAATCACTACAAAATATTTTATTTATATTAGTATCTTCTACCCATTCTCAAGCTAATAATATAGCACATAATTCTGCTGCATATATACTGAGAAAAAAATGATGTCAACATTAGGGATGGGGATCGTTAATATTTATTGATATCGATACCTTTATCGATACTCCTTATCGATCCGAGTCTTTATCAATACCACTATCGATACTTTTCTGTTATTTGGTGGAAAGACGATGCAACAAAATTTTTTTAACAGAACTGGTATTGCTTCTATTGCTTAACAAGTGAGCATAACAAAAACGTTTCTAGCCTTCAATAAACATGGCTAATGTAATAGGCCACTTCGAAATGACATAAAACTAACTAGAATATATTTTCACAATTGTTGGTTAATGTATTGTCTACTGTCACTTTTCATCATGTTTTTAGTGATTAGGAAAATATTTAACAAATAAATAATTGTATTTTAAATTAAATGTAATTTTTAATAAATGTTGGCATCAGTAGTTTAATTATATATAGAGCAATATACAACTGTATTACTCATGTTTCTCGCCAAAAACAAAATTTCCCGTTTTCTTTACGTTACACTTGAAGGCATCATGATAACCTAATTGTCGTTTTACTGAGCTAATCTGAACACATCATCACGCAGCACGTCTGAAACGAATTTACTTTTCAAGCTAACTAGCTTGTATGCTTCCGATTACAACACGGATTTCACAATGAATATTTTTAACTGACCGGACAAGCTACAAAGTCTGTGTGCGCTTACCAGTGGTACTCTGAGTGGATGATTAAGATGGGCCCGACTGCGGCGGCAGCAGCAGGAGGAGGAGGAGGAGTCTTTTCCGTTCAGCCATCCTCGAGTCGCGAGCTAAGTTAACTGCCAGACTTCACTAGTTTTACTTTTAATATCTGTTTGCTTACAATTTCATTCCAAAATATTGGTGTACATGCTGCAGTGATTGACGTCACGACTTCCGGGTTGGAGGGCGCTTGAAAAGTGATCAGAATCTTTTCCGATTTTCTCTTAAATGTGAAAAAATAAATAAAAAAACGGTGGTATATTTATTTGTTCATATTTTGCTATTTATATATACGTAAGGTTAAGTCAAACTGACGGACGCTTCATAACCGGTTTAATTCGCTTTTTTTTCTAATTCTATGATTAATGGGAAGTAAGCCTAAGGGCGACGCTAAGTATAGAGGGCGCCCCCAACACATTTGTCGCCCTAGGCAATTGCCTAGCTCGCCTATAGCAATCGCCGGCCCTGTGTATATATATATATATATATATATATATATATATATATGTATATGTATATGTAAATGTATGTACATATATATATATATGTATATATATTTATATGTATGTATATGTATATATATTTATATATATGTTTATATATTTATATGTATGTATATGTATATATATTTATATATATGTTTATATATTTATATGTATGTATATTTGTATGTATGTATGTATGTATATATGTATGTATGTATATATATATGTATGTATGTATGTTTGTATATATATATATGTATGTATATATATATATGTATGTGTATATATGTATGTATGTGTGTATATATATGTGTATGTATATGTAACAAATGATCTTGTTGTGTATATGACTGTGAGACAGTCTATCACAGTCAAGTCTGTTAATCTAATAATTATGGATCTAACTGTACGTACAAAAGCAAGTGTAAACTTTTGTTGCTTGTTTGGCTGAATTTCATATATTCCTTCTTCTGAGTTTGTGCTTAAAATATTATTTCATCCAAATGAATTAAAGCTATGCATTTTTTCTAGGTGTATAAAGAATCTACCAACACTTATCTGTCAACACTTAAAGACCGCAGGTATGTATTGCACTTACTAAATACATGCTGTTATACTACTCTACAGAACTACTTCACATACAGTATATTGTGTAAAGGTTCATTCTCTGTTTTGCAACACAATGTTGATAACTTATATAAAAATCATGTTTTTATCAACTTTTGCTGGCTACGCAAATTTGATACAGTTTAACCCGAAGTTAAAACTTGAATTTGAAATGAAAGCAGCATAAAATATAGAGAATATTTTTCTTAGATATGCAGTATTTCTATAATACCATATACCCATATAATTATTAGCACTATTATTGAAGTAGGTTACTCTTTATACAGTTACTGTATACAAGTTAATAGTTCCTTTTTTTCTTATTACTTTAGGTTTTTGCTGATGGGATGGCAGTGTAAGATCTGCAAGTCTTTGTCTGCTACAAAAGGGAACCTACTAAAGCATTACAGACTAGAGCACACAACATTTGGTCACGGGCAATCTCAGCCATGTCCCTATAGTGGTTGCCCTTGCACATTCAAAACGCAGAGTGCTCTTCGCACACATTTGTCCAGGTACCATACCTCTAAGGAAAGTCTACAGCCATATATCTCCACTTTCAAGTGTTTAGTTTGTGATGCTAGTTGTTCTACTGAGAAGGATTTCTTTCAACATATTGGAAATCATCTGAAAGGCCATGAAACTGTCTTTTGTGTATTTGAAGGGTGCAGTTTTCGGACAAATATTTACAATACATTTCTAAAACACAAAAGCAGAAGACACCAACCCTATTCTTTGAGTGATTTTAAGCAAGCTGTGTATGAAAGACACTATGATCAGACAGCTGACCTCTCTGATTTACCAGAAGCCAGTGCTGATGAGGGAACTAGTCTAGATGGTGATCCCGAATGTGCATCATACCTAGTTCTGAAAAGAATTGCTTTGCTTCTGCTGAAGCTAGAAAGTATATGCAATGCATCTGTGAGGTGCATTGATGCCTTGGTTGAAGACCTTCACTTCATTTCATCTGCAGCATCTGTTGCCGTTGTAAGAAATACACTCGATTCAACATTTAGATCAAATAAATGCACTGTAGACCAGGCATTCATATGTGACTTGGCAGAACAACTGTGCAACTTCCATCCCATTAGTACAGCACTAGCGGCAGGTGGTCCTCTTAGCACAGCTTTTAAGAGAAGAAGATATTTTAAAGAGCATTTCCAGTGTGTTGACCCTGTTGAATATATTCTGGATTTTCAAAAGAACAAGACCTTTCAGTATGTGCCCATTCTCAAAACTCTGCAGGAAATTGTAAAGAATAAAGACGTTGCAGACGGAATTATATCCAGGTGTTCAAACAGCACTGGATATATTAAGTCAATTTTTGATGGCAAATTTTACAGACAAAATGATTTTTATGCTGGAGAAGAAACACGACTCTCAATAATCCTTTATGTAGATGATTTTGAGGTGTGTAACCCTCTAGGGACCTCAAGGAAAAAACATAAAATTACAGCCATTTATTGGATTTTGGCAAATTTGCCAATTGAATTGCAATCTGAATTAACGTCAATACACCTAGCTTTACTTTGCAAAGCTGTTGATGTCAAAGAGTTTGAATACAAAGTAGTTTTGGAACCACTATTAAAAGATCTTGTCACTCTAGAAAAAGAAGGAGTTTTCATTCCCAGTGCTGGAAAAAGTATTAAAGGGACAGTACACTGTGTTTCAGCTGATAATCTCGGGGCACATTCAATCAGTGGACTAGTTGAAAGTTTCACAGGGCCATACACGTGTAGGTTTTGTCTTGGACATTCTTCCAAGTACCAGACACATGAAGTGCGAGGTGGAGCATTTCCACCCCGTACAAAGGAGGACCATAGTTTGCATGTACACACTGTTAAAGAAAATCCCAGTTTAACACATTTCTTTGGTGTAAAGCGGTCGTGTCCATTGACCGACAAACTGACTCACTTTCACTTTGTCTCTGGATACCCACCAGATGTACTTCATGATGTTTTTGAAGGGATTGTTCCAAGGGAACTAGCATTGTGTATTCAGGTTTTCACTAGAAAAAAATACTTTAATTTAACTCAACTTAATGAGTTAATTAAATGTTTCCCCTATAAGGGCTCAGACAAAACCAATAGCCCTCAGGAAATCCCTCAAAATTACATCACTCGCAAATCTATAGGGGGAAATGCTCATGAAAACTGGGCCCTAATACGTTTGTTGCCACTCATTGTTGGTTCACTGATACCTGAGGGTGATTGTGCTTGGCAGGTTCTTCTGACTTTAAAAGACATAGTTGAACTGGTGGTTGCTCCTGTTCATACACTTGAAACTATTGCATATCTTGACTCTAAAATATCTGAACATCGTGACAGACTTTTGGCAGTTTTTCCAGAAGAGACACTGACACCAAAACACCATTTTTTGGAGCACTACCCCACATTGATTGAAGAATATGGACCTCTGGTTGGTGTGTGGACAATGCGCTTCGAAGCAAAACACAGCTTTTTTAAGAAGGTTGCGAGGCACACTAACAATTTCAGGAATGTCTTGTTGACCCTTTCGACACGACACCAGATGATGATGGCATATCACTTGCAAACAGATGGTGGAAAGCAGGCACTGTGTGTTACTAAAATATCTGAGGTGCCTTTAAATGTGCTGCATCCAGACATACAGGGACTCTTAAGAGAAACATCACCACTTCTGTCTGTTGTGCTGTTAGCCAAGACTGTCACCTGTTATGGAACAAGGTACAATGTTGGGATGATCCTGTCCTATGGCTCTACAGGTGGACTTCCTGATTTTGCTGAGATTATTCAGATTGCTATTTTGGACAACTGTGTACACTTCATTGTAAAGTTACTGGCTGCCTGGTATGAAGAGCATCTAAGGTCTTTTCAGTTGGAGGACACTGGGAAAATGGCACTTTGGGAGCAGCAGAAACTTGGTGATGTCTACCCCTTGGCTGCGTACAGTGTGGGAGGAAAATGCTTGGTTACACTCAAACGTCACATCTGTTGTCCGTTTTAGGTAAATTATATTGAACCTTACATCTGTACATACATAATGTTATCTGTATTCTGGTTCATGCAACTGGAATTTTAATTTCTTTTGAGTAATTATATGATAGTTATAATTATGGCTTACATATATATTGTTGTGATTTCATCATTCAGGTAATAATAATAATAATTTTTAACTTGTTTGGTGTCCATATCTAAAATATAACTTTAAAAAACCCATATAAATTGATTATTAATTTTAAAGTTAAATGAATTGGGAATATAATAATTATTTATTGTCATATTTGAATAGTTTATAGTGTTAAAATGAAATGCAAAAATACTTTTTAAAAGATTTTGTATATTTTTTTCAACTTTTAATTCATAAAACTGAAAGTGGTCTAACACATACAGTATGATAGCAGCATTAATCAACATTAGACACATAACTAATTACATACATGGCAACACACAAAAAATTATCAGAGTTCCATTGATTTTTAATTTTAGTGATTTATCATGTGATGACAGAATAAGGAAATAGAATATTTAGTTGAAAATTCAAGTGTATTTCAGTTGTCATTAATAGTCTCTGAGTTTGTTTTGTTTCTTTTTTTTCTGGTGGCACGTCTAGGCTCTTCATTGTAGTATTTACTGTATGTGTAGTCTAACTGTCTGCTTCTGTCTGTGGATATTCTTATCAGGCCGGAGAGATGGAGGAAAAATTGCGAGTAATCATTGGCGACCGAATTGAGAAGTTGGTCCTTCAATCAGGAATCCCACCGACTGTGGAGGAGCTGCAAACTATTGTGAAAGAGAAATTTGGAATTTCTGAGGAGTTCAGTCTTCAGTATTTGGACTCAGAATTTGAAGATTACTTTACACTGCATAAAACTGACCAAATTAAACACAAAGACACGGTAAAGGTTATCTATGCTGCCCCGATTATTCTTAACTTGCAGCAAGTTGAAGGAAGTTTGGACATTTCTTTTGGTCAACAGTCAACAGACTGTGACTCTGTATTTGATGCAGAGTCTTCTGCATCAAATACAGAGTCATCTGCTGGAACATCATCTTCAACGGACACTATTATCCTGCCTAGACAGAGAAGCACCACTGAACGATGTCAGCAATGGCCAAAGCAGTTTCCCATTCCACAGTTTGCATATGAGACTGAGATGTGCCTTGAAAGAGCCGATGAAGACCACAGAAAGAATGGAACACTTCTGACTGCCTCAAAGGTCAAAGCAGACATATTGGAGAAGCTGGCTGAAACTATATATATGTATACAGCTTATCCATCAAGTGCACAGATATGTGATGTTGCTGAGGCACTTGTCAATAAATATCCTTGTCTGAAGGAACCTGGCTCCTTCTCAGGCTACTATGGCTGGCAACAACGCCTCAAATACAAGATGGCAAATTATCGTACCAAACTCAGAGGTTACGGAGTTCCTGAGGTGATGTGCAATGCCTTCAAACGCAAGAGCCCTGGGGACCAAAAATCTGCAAAGAATGTGAAAAAGCCTCGAAAAGCAGAAGTAAACTACCTCCCACCTTACCCAGCAGGAGAGGATGAGGAAAGTCAAGAACAGGAAAGGATACAGTTGCTGACTGAAGTAAGGAAAAGAGACAACAACAAATTGATCAAAGAAAAGATGGCCAAAACATTTGCACACCGAAGAAATGATATCGTTAACCAATCACCTGCCATAGAGGACATCAAAGCCAGATGGCCAGCTCTATTCGAGGCATCTAATGTGAGTTACAAGTGTATTGCAATCAGAAGCATTCCTTTGCAATTTTGAGGGGATAGCTATTTTATACAAAATGTGTTAAGTGACTGTCATTTCATAAATTATGTTTCACATATTTTCAAATATAGTTTACAGGTTACATAATTTGTCTTTTAGATCGAGGATGAGTTTCACAGAATTACAACGGTGCACCTGGAATCGAAGTTCATGTCCAAGCTGGATGAATACTCTCCCAGGCTTCTGAACCTCTTCCACTCAAAGGGTGGGACCATGGGATTAAGGTTGCAGACTATCCTACTGAAGGTATCCTAAGTTTGGCCATATTATGTTTTTTAGTGCAATAAGTGCATATCTTACAGCAGTTTGTATGGCTACCGAAATGGACAATGTTTATCACACATTCTCAAAAATATGACCATAGCTCAGGCAAAATGTTTTCATTTTAATACATAGATTATAAATAATGTGTTCTATATATGTTTTACATTACTCTGCTCTTACCTGATACATTCTGGATAAATGTAAATGTCTGACTCTTTAGGCACCAGCTGCCACTCACTCCTATTTTCTAGCAGCTTAAATGTTAAAATGGAGTTATAACAATATTGCTTCTTTTCTTCTACTGTAAATTTGAGGGTACGACCAGCGGAACCCATATATATATATATATATATATATATATATATATATATATATATATATATATATATATATATATATATATATATATATAATATATATATATATATATATTATATATATATATATAAAAACAACTTTGGCAACCTTTATTCCCTAAGGTGGTATGTGGCTGAATTTCTACTTCACTGCAGTAAAAAAAAACAAAAAAAAAAAACAGGTGTTTTGTATTGGCCTGTAGAAAAATGCATTTACCAAATGGCTCACAAGAAGTGACTGTGGATAAGATGACTGCATTGGCATGTTGCTCCACAGGCGCAGGGGGGAGGTCAGGGTTCTCCGGTAGGGCGTCAGGGCGACATGGCATTTAGAACGTCGGACAGCACTTCTGAAAAACTAGATTGGGAGATCCCAGCTCTCGCTGCAACCGTACGCTGGAATGACCCAGATGCAAAAAAGTGCAATGTTGCAAGGAGTTTTGTGATATCTGGTATTGCGTGGGTCCTCCTTGTGCCTGGCTCCAAATCCATTCGGAGTTCCCCCAACAGCTCCAAAATGGCAATGCTGGATAAACGATATGTTTTGATGATCGTTTCCTCAGTCATTCCAAAAATAATCACACGGAGTGAAAAAATGCGTTCTCTGCGTCTCCTTGCTTTAATTTCGATGTCTCCTTCTTGCGACAATAACTGCTGCCATGTGTGCGCAATTACGCATACAGACCATTTGCACCTTCTTTTGAAACGTGTTAAATATAGAGTCAGATACCGTTAGCAAAATTGCTTTCAGGTTAGATAAATCACTTTGCGAGTGCTAAATTAATATATTTACATGTTCTCCTCCCACAAGACACACTTTTGCGTGTAAACGCCCCATATTGCATATTCATAGCAGAAAAAGTACTAAATGGATAAGAGGCGCTATTTAGGACGTTTTAAAGACCAAATCCTTTTAGCACGCTGTTGATAGATCAGTTTGTACATTTTTTAGCGTGCGCAGTGAAATAGCTCACGTTTTTATACACGCAAACCTTTGATAGATCCGGCCCTTATTGTTAAAAACTGCACCTTGACCTTGAGTAATATTAATTTATGTGTTTTTCGTTTTCATTTCAGGCTCCTAGCAATCCTAACATCAACATAACCAGAGACATTGTCATCCGGTGTCTGATGTTGTACCTTGGGGAATCTGCCGATCAGCTCTTTAAAGAGTATGATGTAAGTTGAAATGCATAACTCTTTCAATCTCTATTTATTAAGGACCATCTCCTTTAGCTGCACAGTCTAAAATACAAAATGTTCTCATTATTTTAGGATGCAGATGAAGACAGTGTGGCACAGGACCTTGCTGTACAAAGGATGAAAATTTACAGCATCCAGAGTAATCTGTCAGAGGGTACAGAGGACATCGGAATCGTGATAGATGGTACAAAGGTTCTGACCGCTCTGGGTAACTTTCCAAGAGCTTGTGCCATGCTTGTTGGTTTGACGTATGCAGTGAATCTTGCTTATCCCAAGGAGCTCAGGTACACTTTCGAAGCCTTTCAGAAACTCTTCCTGGAGCTGGACTGTTCAAAGCTTTCTCCAAAAGTGAACAGCCTCAAGAGCAAGCTACTGGCTTAAGAAAGGGAGCCTAAATACACTGGTGTGCTCAGTTATTCTGTGTGTTCAAGTGATTTAAGTGTTCAAGTTTTGTTAAAAAATAATGTTATCCATACTCATCTGAAGGGGATGATGTTTTTTGTAGCTTGGTGTTCCAGAAGTAACAAGTAAATGATAATGCTGCACTATAACTAGGACAGTGACAGTTGTGTCTTGATAACACAGAGTTTCTAGATGGACTATGAACACTTTGCCCCCACCTTAGGACATGGATGCCAGTGACACAATCCACTTTCACAGAGGCAAAAAAAGACACTCCTCTTGTTTTTCATAATTCTTCTGTTTGTTCTTGCAACAGCAATCCACAGCTATATTATGAAGATAGACAGTATTCTGCTGGGTCTTTACCTCTGTTTTGTGACCCTGGTAATTGTGAGCACAAGCTGTACTGATCTGACACTGATCTGAGGAGCCTACCTGTTCAATTGGCCTGCCTCAAATAGCAAGTGCCTTTGTTAAATATATTTTGCCATACTCATTTGAGGGGCTTGTTGTAATTCTGTTGTGTACACCAGGATTTCTTTGTATTTTGGCCTTTTACACGAAAAATTTTCAGAATATATGTGTAAACGAAGTTGCACAAATAAATGTTTACCTGCTGTTGTTCTAAATGTGGTCATTTGTTAACTGCCCTTCTGTAAATTCTTGCAAAGAACACATTATATTGAGTAGATTCTACATAAAAAATATATGGCAACAAAGTGACAATCAATAACATTAAATAGATTTTAAGTAATGTGGTACCAATTATAAGTTCATTTGAACAATTAAGTTATGTAAAAATAAATAACAATTTCAGTTTAAATGTGTTGAATTAAGTAACATTGTTCCAGGTTATGAGTTGATGTAGCTTATTTTATTTATTTAATCTAAATCATTTGTATCCAGATATTTAGAGAGATAGAATCATTTTAACGCATATAATTATTAAATATAAATCAATATTATCCAGATATTTAGTAAATGGAAATCTATTTCATCCACATAATTATTAAATATTATTTAATTCCACATAATAAATTAGTAAATCTAAATCACTTTTTCACAAATATTTGGTATATCTAAATCACTTTCTTTCGGATACATAGTAAATATTAATCAATTTTCCCTGTATAGTTGATTTGGATTTACTCAACATTTGCCATATTATAAGTAAATCCAAAGTATTTCAACCAATGATTTCATTATTTTGTATTTAAAATTTTTGTTTAAATTTGTTTAATTAAATCAATGGTTTTTAATCAAAGTTGAAGTAATTAAAATCTATTCAATTATATTAAGTGTCACTTTGTTGCCTTAATTTTTTTAAGTAGACAATGGTCAAAATTTTCTGAGTGTAGGAATGCAAAGATCCAGGGACAGGGCAGGGTGTCAGTGGTAAGCCTACTGCTGCCACCTGGCCCTGGTTTGTCCTCATGGATGAGGTATTAGGACAGAGGCCCTCTGTTGCCCCACCTGTCCTAATTGTCTCCATCCCTGAGGACACACCAGGGCCAGGTGCTGCAGAGGCTGAGCAGCATCAGGGCGATGACGAGGAAGAGAGTGATGATGAGAGGCCAGGAGAGAGGAGGGAAAGGATGAAGAGAAGAAGAAGGAGTGACGAGTTGCTTGAATTGATCAGGGAGGATATGAGATGGCAGAGGGAGGCGGAGGAGAGAAGAGAAAGAGAGAGCCGGGAAAGGATGGACAGATTGTTTAATTTATTGAGAGGATGGTGGACAGAAGTTAATTTTTGTTGGTGTGTTCTTTTTTTTTGGTTGTTGCTGTGTTTACAAGTTCAAGTTATGTGTTGCTGTTATTAAATTAAATTATTAAATTGTTTATCAAAGTTATTGTCGGTGTGTTCTTAGTCTTTTAACCTTTTTACATCATCTGTTTCATCACTTCTTGACAATTTAAGTAAACGTAGAACAACTTCTCAGTGACAACATCAATTTATTTTTTGAGATGCAATTATAAACAAACTATTAAAAATATTTTAACTATTTACAGTCAATTTGAACTACTATTTACAGAAGATGTAAAAGAACATATATATACAATTTCGACTGAGCAGGAGTCCCTGGTGGTGCTGCTGGACTGGATGCGGTGCCACACAGATGACCTTGGAGTGTTCTGACTGCGAGTGGGACATCATCTGGGGGGTGGGGGGGTTGCCTCTCTCCACTGTTCACCACATCGTCCATCAGGGTTTGAAGGGCTGACCCAATCGACGGCTGCCATGTTATTAAAAATGTTTAAGAAGACGCAGAAAATGACTTTACTACAGCTGTTTTAATAACCCTGAAATGAGAACAGCTAAAATGTGATTCTACTTGCCATCTAAATGTAATCGTGGTTGGGTAGACCCTCCTCCAGGGCAGACACCTCGGCAGACAGCTGGTTCTGCCAGTGAGCACCACTGACTGCCTCCAACACCTTCTCCCCTCCTCATCCTCTGGCATGTCGTCCTGCTCTTCATCCTCTGGGGCCATGATGTCACCAGCTCCCAGGCAGATGTTGTGCAGGACAGCACATGCCGTTATGACCTGTAGAAAAAAAAAAAAGACAAAAACATTTTATAGTATATTTGAAGAAATTAAATTAAAGCTTTTTATCATTTATCTATAAGCAATAATTCTCTCATTTAGTAACATACCTGAGGCACAAAGGTGTGGTGCACCTCCAGCGCTTGGAGGAAGATGGCCCTGAACCTCGTCTTCATCATCCCAAAGGCACGCTCTATGATGGAGCGTGCCCTGGAATGATGGCTGTTAAAGCGCAGGGCTCCCACACCTTGTACCGGCCGCTTGAAGGGAGTGATGAGGGGGAGTGGGTGTTGGAGACACGGGTAACCACCATCTGCCAAGATGAAGTGGCCCGGAGGAGGGTAGATGGCCTGCCTGTACAGTGCGCTGTTCCGGAGCACTCTGGAGTCACCGACCCCGGCCAGCCCACGTACGTGTCGATGAAGCGGCCCTGATGGTCACAAACTGCCTGTAAAATGATGGAGGAGAACAGTTTCCTGTTCCGATAGCATTGACCATCAGGACCGCTTGGAGGCTTGATCCTCACATGGCAGCCGTCGATCGCTCCAGCAGCTTTGAGAAAAGCTCTGTGTCCGGCCAGACCTTCAAACCCCTGGGTTACTGCTGCCAGGTCTTCTGCAGTTTTCGGGAGGCAGATGACTCGGTGGCGGATGGCCACCACCTCCTCAGTAACCCGATGGACGATGCGGTGAACTGTGGAGCGAGGCATCCCGAACACCCTAGCCACCACTCTGTAGGATGCCCCACTCGCTAGCCAGAAGAGGAAGACCAAGGTCTCTATTGTGGCCCCCCCATCCGTGTCTTCTTTCCTGGCAGAGAAGGTCCAGCAGCACCACCAGAGACTCTGCTCAGCCGAAAGTGTTGGGAGCTGGAGAAATTCCACCTTTCTCCAGCAGAGTCCGCCGTGGATCCTGAGGGAGCCTCCTGCACAGCTGCAGCTCGTCAAGATCATCAGAGGATCCACTACTTAAGCTGTCTTCAGACCTTGCCTCAACGCCGCAGTGTTGTTCCAGTTGGTCAGCGCTTAAGCCTAGATCCTCAGAGTAATTCGAGGACTTTGAATCCAGCTAGGATTCTAACCCCTGTGTCTGTTTTCCAGGAAACCTGTGCCTCCTCTGTGAAAGCTCTGGAAGAGCTAACCTGCCGAGCCGACCCTCTGAGCCAAACCTAAAGATTCACAGAGAACCTCCAAGCAGCTCTGGACTAGAGCTGGGAAACCCAAAGCCAAGGTCTGTTCTAATTAGACGTGAGACGCTGAAGCAGCTAACGGACTCTGCTGATGAACTCTTCTCCAGAACCAACAGTGACTCTCCCAAAGCTAACCTCAAGAACCCTCAAGGTACAATCTGTGAACGTCTGGAAATCAAACCTCTGTTGGCAACGCTAACTGAACTGTCTCTCACGCAGACTCCGGTGAACCAGAATCCAGGCCCCGAACCAGAACCCGTATATTCAGTGTGCTTGTGCATTAATAAAACTGTTAAACTTTCATCCTTGTGTCCGTCAGTGGTGTTCTGCATTCTTGGGTCGCTTTCAGTGAACCCATCATGACAGAAAGTCTGGTCTGGTGTCATGATTGTTAAAGAATAATGGAAGAACAGGAACATTCAGGTTGATCCGGCAGTACATCGGCCTGGTCTGGATAGAGAGATGAAGGTTGAGAACAGGATTAGATGATAGCTATTTCATTTTAGCTGATACAATTCTAGTGAATGTTAACCCCTTAACGCCTGGTGTTGCCAATTTGGGACCAAACAATTCTGGCCTTTACTTATTTTACTTCATCTAGATCCACTATTTAACTTTTTTTTTCGTTTTTATATATATTTTACCTGTATTATTTTTCTGTTATATAATGGCAAATAAAATCAGGCAGTAAGTGGATAACAATTTAGACAAATAAGGATTTATTTCTCAATAATACAGTTTGCCTTCTCCACACAACATTAGTGATAGTGAAAGTGGTGATTTAAGTCAGTTATTTACAGGGATTGCAAATATTTAACTATTCAATTCAAATTACTAAAGTTACAAACAAGCTTATACCAAGTCTTATAAATATATATTTAAAATTTGATATTTAATGATATTCATTAATCTGCTGACAAGTGTTTGATAAATAACTGGTACATTCTGGTTTAGATCATATTTGGCTGAACGTACTTTTTGTGTCTGTCTTGATGGCCATAGGTCCCCCTCTGCTCCACTGTCGTGTGGTGTCCCACAGGGCTCAGTTCTAGGCCCGCTCCTTTTCTCACTTTACCTTCTTCCGCTCGGCTCTATTTTCAGAAAACATGGGATTGCCTTTCACTGCTATGCAGATGACACACAGATATACTTACCGCTAAAGAATGTAAACTCCACCTCTCTTCGGTCTCTGTTTTTATGTCTTGAAGATTTTTTAATTTTTTTAAAACTCAATGAGGACAAGACGGACGTAATGATCTTTGGCAGATCCACTGCTGATTCCGTGACCAGTCTTGGCTCCTTGGCTCAGTACGTTAAGCCGGTTATTACAAATTTAGGGGTTAAGATGGATGCTGGTCTTAAAATGGAAGCGCACATCAGAGCCGTTATAAAGTCCAGCTTTTTCCACTTAAGGCAGCTAGCAAAAGTAAAACCCATTCTTTCCAGACAGCATTTTGAAACAGTGATACATGCATTTGTGACCACACGGCTGGATTACTGTAACTCACTTTATACAGGGGTCAGTGACTTGAATATTTCTCATCTTCAGAGGGTTCAAAATGCTGCTGCACGTCTTTTAACAGGTGCACGAAAATTCGACCACATTTCCCCTGTTTTAGCTTCCTTACACTGGCTGCCAGTACATTTTAGGATTAATTTTAAAATTCTTTTATTTGTTTTTAAAACTCTTAATGGCCTTGCTCCTTCTTATCTGTCTGAGCTGTTACATTCTTATACACCCTCCCGTTCCCTCAGGTCAGCTGATCAGTTGCTTCTGAGGGTCCCAAAGACAAAATGCAAGCTCAGAGGAGACCGTGCTTTTTCTGTGGCAGCTCCTAAGCTGTGGAATGATCTGCCTCTGAGCATAAGACAGGCCTCTTCTCTTGCTGTTTTTAAGTCCCTTCTTAAGACTCATCTTTTTTCCTTGGCTTTTGGCACAATTTGAGAGGTTTTACTTTGTTTTATTCTTTTTGTATACTAATATCTATTTTACACTCGTTTTTTCTCTATTTTATAATTTTATTGTATTTTATGATTGTGTACAGCACTTTGGTCCTGTTCGGTGTATAAAGTGCTTCATAAATAAAGTTGGTATGGTATGGTATGGTATTCTGATCATTAGCAGACCCTAGTGGGGGAAAATAATAAAGGTAAGTGTTACCTCTCCACTGCGCTCTGCCAGCCTCAAATATATTTGTCGCCGGTTTTGCTGCCGCCAAATCCGACTCTCCTCCTCCAACATCAGGTAAATAAAATAAAAATTGCAGTTTCCATTTCGCTATATCAATCAATCGTCTGATTAATGGCGCGGTTTTTCCCGGGCTTTGTGTAGACGTGATGACGTCGTGACGTAACCAGGAAGTGCTCCAAAGGCTAGACCGTCCCATTTACCAATGGCTGAGGATCCTCCGGAGCAGCCTACCGAGGCTGGGTCCTCCGGAGGCTAGGTAGGCTGCGTCCTCGGAAGTACGCAGCCTGCGAATTGAGAAGCAGCCTATATCCTTCTCCCTTTTTCTGTTTTTCACCCCGGATAGTTTTAAAAAAAAAATTTTCTGGCGCTCCATCTTGCTGTTAAGTGCGCACTACGAGTGATAGTCGAAGATAAAAAAAAAAAAGATAAAAAAAAGAAAAACACGCCTGAGTGCGCCTCTTAGGGGCGCGTGCGCAAGCCAACTGTGTGGGAAGGGAGAGCGACAGGAGGGGAGGTGAAGGGGGCGCATAATCAGTGGGGGTGCATCAGAGGGGCGCATAATCAGTGCTGTCTTTCTGTTATTGATCGTTTTATGCTGTTAAATATAGAAAATTACAAGTAGAAACATTTATTTTCTGGAGGGGTTTTTTGACGCCCCCTCAAGTGCATCGCCCCTATGCGTTGCATGTGCTGCATACCCGGTTTTTGCGCCTCTGCGCCAGACCCAGGGGAGGTCCAGCCCCTTAGCTTTGATTGACAGACGAAGTCATACTGCTGAAAAATGACATTATGAATTACAAAAGGCCATTGTGGAAAATGACATTTATGAAATAAAAATTGACTTTGGGAAAAACTTTTTTATTTGATAAAATCTTGGAAAATTAAATAAAATTAATTTTTTTCAAACGTATGATATTATGAAAATAATTATTATGAAATATTCAATTTTGATAAAAAAATAAGAAGTAAATACTAAAGAATAGCTATATGTATTTCATAATAACATTGCCTTGCTTCTTATTTCATGGCCATATTATATATTTGTGTGTTATTTATCAAAATGGTTTTTATTTCATAAAGTTTTTTATTTATTTAATTATGAGTCATTCAGGGTTCCATAGGTTTTAGCCATGGAGAAAACTCTTGGCTGGATAGACAATTTTGGTTACATTTACACTTGCTCATATTTTCCAGACAAAATGTTAATGGCACATCTCCCAAATGTCCCGGCCGCAAAAACGCTTTTATTGGTTCCGCTATCGGGACGGAAGCAATAATGGCGAGCCGTTTTTTTTTTTTATATAAAAATAAAATAAAGGTAAATTCAATGTTTTATTTAGATTACAAAATAAATAATAATAAAAATAATCCTATTTATGATGTTTTAAAAATTAAGACCTACAAAAGACTGATTTAAGACATTTTAATACCAATTAAGGCCTTAGTTTTGTTTTGAAGAATTCAATGCCTTTTAAGACTTTTTAAGGACCAGCGGGGACCCTGTACTTACATTTCAGTCATTATAAAACTTAACAATGGTTTTTCACATATTCTTACTACACACATTTCAAGCAAGAGCTGGGAGATATATCCTGGCCAAATGAATAAAACATTACAGGGCAGCATATGCACTAAAACATATGTTAAAAGAAGCTGTCTAAAACACAATCTATCAGCACTAGCATGGCTAATATAATAAATGAGGCACTACGGAGCGGTGCACAACCATTAATTTTTTTCTTTTTAGAAATGTATGACAAGTGCCGCCTCTCATCAGGAAGGTAACACAGCGGTTACCGCTGAGCGGTAAAATGTTGTAAACACCTGCAAACTCCTCAACGGTGTACTCTAAAGCTGTGGGTGTGTTTTGGATCAAGCAGGAACCACATGTCAGTTTAACCAATGAACAGCATCAGTGAGCAGCATGTAGGCTGCTACTACATCGGGCTGCCTTCAGGGACAAACGGAAATTACAGTTTTCCTGGCAAATCTTTGCCGATCTCATAAGTATTATATTTTAAAATTACCATTTCCAGTGGGGTGGCAAGGGCTCTGTTGGGGGTGGCTGCCACCCCTCTGGCTCCGCCACTGGTTCTGGTATTCCTGAGAATATAACATTTTCACACATGCTGTGGCTCGGTAGCTATATTCAGCAGCACGGTGTTTGTTTTTTTAACACTTTTTTAATTGTTATCTTTTGAAAAATGTTCAGTTTAGGAGCTGAGTGAACTAATAGTGTGTTTCGGTTATTTACTCCCACGCAAAAGGGCGTTGCCCAGGTACAGGCTGTCTCTCGTCATCAAAGTTCTCTTTAATCTATTCTTTATTAC